AACGTCAGGCGAATCAAAGTATTGTCCGAGCGATCGAGTCTTCTTCTCAGTCCAATTGGTTTTCACTGAGCTCCAGTGAGTTATAAGATGATAAAAGATGTATATTTAATTATTATCATACTTAAGTATGGATTTAATTCTGAACAGAGTACAGTGCCACTTAATATGGTGTTCAATAAGGGCTTGCGAACACCTTGAGTTACGAACTGCCGTTCAGAGCGTTCGTGCATTGAGGACCGCCTGTATTCTTTCCTCAAATTAATCGGTTCAAGGCCACAGGTACAACATTCAAGTATGCACAGTGATGCTAGGCCCATCTTCCCTCATCTCGGAAACATAAGCTTGATAGCAATCTTTCCAGTCAACCATCTAGGAAGCCTGTGCCGGCATTTCTTACCAACATAGTTTGAGACAATCCCTTTGTGAAAGAAAACCTAACGCTTTGATACAATGTAGATCGGGGGATCCGACACTTCAGTATAAGATCGGCAAACCAAATGCTATTTTAAGGAACTGCAAACCATGTATCTTTATTCCGCGTAAACGTTGAGTACAGTGTCCGCCAGAATTTTATGGATGGTTTATTGTTGAGTCTCGGAATATGAAAATGCACATCGATGCTGTCGCTGAACCCCTGTCCCTTTCCCGGCGTCGGTCCCTTTTCCCAGACGTGATACGCTGTCAGTGTGCATATCTCTTTTGATAAGCAATAGATACCGATACACAGATTTCGAAAGATCGCCAAATCGCATGTTTTTGTTTCTGCGTGTTGGTACAAGGTTTTCGTGCAAAACCCTGTTCATTTGGTTAAGAGGCGTTTTTTATGTCAAGAATCGTAAAGTGACATTTTTAAAACGACATTTTCCACACTTACTCTCTTGACTTGACTTGGCAATAAATATGTCAACGTATTTGGTTTTTTTTCTCGGCGGTTTACTTGTTGTTTATATTACTTCCCTGAAAGTACATCTTTTCGCAACATGACAGTCCTACTACTTGTCAGTCAACAGATGTGGAGTGGGTTTGTGCTCTATACAAATTACATACTTAAGATGGAAATGGAAACTATGCATAGCAGCTTAGTGCACATAATGGAAATGTATTGTATCAAAGGTTAGGCACAAACACATACTCTTTATTAAATGGGCTTCGTAGGGTTTTCATGTACAGTTTATAAGTGACTCACAATACTTATTAACACTTTCAGCCGGGCTTACTTCATGTTGATTCGTTAGCTGTTGCTGGCTCGGATGATGAAAGAAACATGAGCCAACAATGACTACGGCTGAACTGTTTGCGTCTACTATTGCTTCTAAAATAACATTCAAGAACTAGACGCCTTCAAACTACTGAGACAATTCACACATATTATTCAAATATACATATATACCGAATTTATATCTTTGAGTGAAAAAGCTATGAAAAAATGCCAACGTCGACCACTTTTGGTGATGATTAGTGTTTTCAGCCAAACTTATCCTGGACATATCTGATTCATAACTGCCGGAAAGTTACACAGCCTATCTCAAATTTAAAAAGTTGATTGCTTGAATAGCTAGTTGATAGAAACTACTTATGTCTGGTACGCCTGAAGAGCGATGCAAGTTTCAATAATGTTTTCCTTGAAGAAATCCTTTACTTAACTACCCTACTTGATTTATCCCTGAACGGCTTTGTTGAACTCGGATTCAACTCACCAAATGTCTTTGCTAGCTTTCGTTGAGGAAAAAAACTCGATGACGTTAGGTCCTTCCACACGAGTTTCAAGCTTTTTCCTAATTTCTTCCTGACTTCAATCCTTAATGACTGTATGAGGATTTCTGGTGCTACTGATATTGCACTTAGGCAGGTCTGAGCAACTAAACAGCAGCTCATTGTCTTTGTGTAGTCCAACTTGGCTCATAGATAAAGGATTCCTAAACAAGCGTGAAATTATTAGGAGGTTCGGCAGATTTTCTTAATCTGAGTTGACCCAATTGTGAAAAAAACTCGAGGCGTTCGGCAGGATTTAAACCCGCGTATCAGGGAAGGCCTTTACCGGCTGCCAAC